CTCCTTCGAGTTATTAACAACAAGAGCACCATTGTCTTTAATGTTTCTTGTTGTTTTTCTGAAGACTTAGCTAAGGGCAGATTACTGTACCTAAACAGCAGCATTCGAAAAGCCTCTGCATTTCTTCTAGGGCCAGTGCTGCTACCACGTGCATGTATGGTCTGACGATGAATTCAGGAGTTTACACCTGTCTAGCTCATCAAATCCATCACTTTTGTGTAGCAGGCTCGCCAAGCTGGCCTGGGAGGAAAAGCGCCGGTTCGTAGGATTTTTCAAGCCAACCAGTGGGTGGAGTACCTATTTAGATAGATCATTATAATCGTGATGGGTAACGGAGATAATCAAGCTTTTGTCAAGCTATTGAAGTTGTACCTGTCATCACCCTGAGGGGTGGGTGGAACATACCTTTTCGTTCTTCTTCTTTTAGATCAATTAATTTACGTCATCGGTTTAAGGACGGTCTTCAAGCCTTCTTGAGGACAGCTCATAATTCCATCAGACTGCATTAGACTTGAAATTATCGCCTGCATTCCTCAAACCGTACTTCCTGTTCAGTACCCTTTTTTCTTTTATTTTGCCAAAATCATGAAATCTGTCGACCAAGCTGTATCTGAATTTGGACAACCAGACAGATAGTAGCATCCAACTTATTCTGCAGATTATTCAGAGCCCTGTATAGATGGTTAGTAGGACTATAAACTTACGTAACGATTTACCAGATAATATGGTGAACAAAAAAAAATGTAAAAATAAAAATTTTTTCTTAGACAGTTTTCCCCGAGTCTCACTTCATGAAATAGCAGATCATTATAGAGCGGTACGTACAAATTTTGCTTCTTTCTTTGTGCTCATTAATTTCATCGAGTCAAGCCGATCACTGGATTGACAAGAACGACTAATCAATTTCTTAACTCGTGGCTGTTTGGATTCTCCCCAAAAGAGACACCGCAAAACTACTCAAAAGAGACCATATAATGAAGGCAGATCTTGTATGGGCGATCAGTCGGGCTCATATGAAAAATATTTATGGCAAAAGCAATTGTTTAGAGCCTTTGCTTATGGCTGTACTACTGTTTAATTGCCGGGGAACGATCACACCCCTGAATAGTCCTGTCCTTTTATGCACATTCATATATGAAGCTAGCTGATCATTCAATGAGCTCCAGTTTCCAAGGATCAAGGCTTCTGTTGATTACTTATTACAAAGAGTCCGTTCGACCTCGACACAGCGTTACCTTCGTTACCTTTTTTCAATTCTTTAAACTTATCCTCATATCAGAAGTGGCATGTAATTATAGCTTATAAATAAGAAATGTTCATCAAAAGCTAATATTTCAACTGATAGTTAAACATACTCTACATTACTGTCTGCTCCAAATCGTTTATTCTTTTGAGCCCTTCTCTGTAAACTGTATGCCTTAGCCGATGCTCTGTCCTATGGCCCTCTAGATTGCTAGTTCAAGCTTTCGAGTTCACTTTTCGCAATAAATAGTCTCATTTCCTAATCTGAGGTTAGGATGGAAAACTTTTTGATCGAATCTGCTGAATCCGTTTTAAGAACATGGGATAGTTTTAACTGTGAGTGTGGCCGGTGCCTCTTAGGGGTTTCAGTTCACAGTCAGAGCTCGTGCATCAGAATCAAGCACAGTTTGTAGTCAATATGTTTTCACAATTTTGAAGAACTCAAACATTTCGTCTACAAACATAGGTAGGTCATGTTTCCGTTGCCACGCTTCTAGAAGCAAACACAAAACTTTCTTTTCCTCCCTGCTGAATAGCTAGGAGGGTCGGAGCTTTAAAACTTTCTCCTATGTTCAAGTATGACGGTAACAGTCAGTAACAGAAGTCTCTTAGCTCAACTAACCTTTGCCCCCATCCGGGTGGTCGGGTGGTGGTCTATAGGTATAGCGACTTGTTCCTTTGATTTGTTTCCACAAGTCCATAAATACCTGAGTCATGCATTCAGTCATTCTTTGATCCTGATGAAAGTCTCGAATCTACCAGTCAGTTGGAGACGGTATAGTGAGCTCCTGGCGTCCTAGCGTATCTAGAAAGGAGACTTAATCCTACGGTTTCTGACCGACCACAGCATCCATAATGCTTTCGTTTATTTTTTGGAATGGAGCTTGCCATTTCCTTAAATAATAACTTACAACTTCTATGTATTCTCTGTTGAAATGATACAGTCGACTTCTTGTGGCTAATGCATGTAGGCAATTAATTGCAGGGAGAGTTGAGGCAGTTGAAAACAACAGGCTACATTGTTTCACTGAACTGCTGTGTCGTTCAGATTTGTTATGATGGAGCCACTTTGTATTATAGGCGTCTCCAGGATGCCGCTGCCTTCAGAAATCAGGCTCCTGCTCTACTCTAGCTATGAATCTTCATGAACTGATTAGTTCTCATTACCACCACTTGTACACTCCCCGTCTGACTGAGAGTCTTGCCAACTCCCTCAGGAAGCACGAACTAGTCTCTTCCATAAGAAATCATTCCATTTATAGGGCTATTGTGATATTTCGAGTATCAGTCATCTGTTTATTATTTTGATTTGAGAATGTTTTGACGTCTGCATCAATTACCGGCTGCTTTTCCAGACGAGTTTCAGCTCTGCAGCTCTGCAAGAAAGGAATATTATTAGAATGTGAATTTTCATTTTCTCCTATTTCATTACGAAGTATCCTTACTATTAGATTTGGTGGGCTTCAATCAAACTAGTTTTTCAATACTTTTTAATTAAATAACTGTGGTGCTACCCGTGTAATTTTTGGGACGTGTGCCATCACAGCTTCCGAATTGATGGAATCCAGTCCGTGATACAGTAGCGCTCAAGAGTATTCGACTAAATGCTTCTTCGATCGTACTTTTCAGGCGTAACTCCTTTCCTACTGGATCTAATCATGCGAAATTTCGATATGTGTAGCATGGGTGTAGTGTCAACCTGCAGTCTAATCTTGTTCCAGATATCCCAAAAGGCTTAAACTCTAAATCAACTGGAATGACAGACATTGGTCCTTCTAGGAGTCCTTTCCTTTTTATTATGTCTCAAGTGTATGAGCGCTAATGTCAGACCCAGAAGAGAAGGAAAACGGACATAAGGTCCGAATAACTGCAGACGTCACGAACTTGCTTTCAGCACAGTCTACAAACGCGTCCCCATTAGTATGTGGATATGGCTGTTTCGCAGTCAAAAAGTGTTGGACAGTGTAGAAGCTTCAGCTAAACATTTCAAAATTTCATGCGATCAAAACTGCGAATTCATTGGTCCCCTGAGAAAAAAGTTACGGCCGAAAAAGCTTGGCCGAATACTTTTGAGCGCTACTGTATGTCTGATTATGAGAGTTTTATACTGAATATTTTTTGAAGACCATTTTCAGGTTTTCCATCAATACTCACACCCTAATTTGACAGCTTTGGATTCTTCTCTGCAGGAATCGAAAATCATTTTTCCCTAGGACGGGCTTGACGTAAACCGTCTACAGTGTTGTTACTGAGGTGTGTCATATTTTGCATAGTTAACCGCGGATAATTGAAAACCCCTCCCTACTGGGAATAGCTATTAGTGATTTTCAACAGCTTAGTGCCGTTGAAAGTGTTTTTTCCTGAACATTATTTGGCGAAAATCACCGTTTGTTGCTTTTTTGTAAATCGGTTTATGCTACTATAAATGACGTCGATTTAGAATGACATATTTTTCTCGAAAGATAACTTTATAAGAAGAAATGAAATGGAATAAACAAGTAAAGTGAAAGGAGTAATCAAAGCAGCTATTCAATTGCCGTATCGCACATGCCTTAGACGTCAACCAAACCGGAATATGTCCCTCTTTTGGGCTCATCAACAAGATGAACAAGAGAGGACAGCCTTGTCATACAGCACACTCTTTAGTCGAGGTGTTGCTAAAGTTGCAACTCCCTTAATTCGATAGATTACGTTTGAGACCTGAAACTATCTGAGCGGTCGTCGCATTATGAGAAGTTCGTTTCAAATTGAAATCCACAATTTTGCGAAATATTTTTCCGATTCATTTTGTTAGTGTTTATAAGGAATTAAGTTTTTTAAATTGTTTCCCGACTTGGACATCGGGGATTGTTTCCCGATGTTTTTGGGTTAAAACCTTCGATTCACAAATGGGCATCCATCGAAGAAGAAAAGGGCATAGGGTTCCATTGAAGGGTGAATTCATAGTCCTCGTTTGTCAGGAAATTAATATTCTACGGATTTTTGCGGGCACGTCTGGCATACGAATGACAACATTACCCTTTAGATCGAGTTCATAGACGAACTAATCAAATATGTACTCATGATGAACCTCATCATCCAGCTGGAAAATTGTATTTATTCGTAAAATTAGTGTCAAACTGCAGTGATAATAATAATAATAATAATAATAATAATAATAATAATAATAATAATAATAATAATAATA